CCTTAAGCCCTCAAACTTGCCCCATTTTTGCAATATGCCCCTAAATTTAAAAAAGGCAAATAATCACTTCAACCATGCAATTAAAGCAAATTACCTCTTCAATTGATGACTACTGATAATTGTATTACCTTTAGTCAAAAGATACGACTGCCATGCACATATATCTGATAATTAAAAGAAAATAAATAATTTCAATTTAATTGTTAATTTCATTTAATTATCACATTGATGCCAAATTTTTTTAGGCGTAGTTTTTCAGTGTTGTGATTAGCCATAGATTTTTTTAGTATTTTACTATCTAAAAAATGTATAATATACTAATTAAAATTAATAAAAGTACAAAAAAATAAGAATTATAAATTTATATTTTAAAATAATACATATTAGTACATACCAAGAATTATAGATTTATATTTAAGAATAGTACATATTAGGCGGTGGGACGAATTTCTTGGCCAGATCGGATCATATTCATGAACTAATCTGTTTCAAAAGTGATATTAAAAAAAGAACAAAGTTCTTCAAACATCGGTTTTGTGGATCTCGTGAGTCAATTGTGGAACAAATTAACGGCTTAGTCAATCCAATTGGCTGGGGGTTTCAACTTTCTAAAGGAATCTGGGCCAGATCACCGGCAATGCATGCATGTTTACATGTTGCCGGCAACATGTAAACATGCATGCATTGCCGGTGAAAAAGGTATAAAATTGGATGTGGATGGGCTAAACAACTCAATCTTTATTCTATTAAACTCTTGTGCTTTCAGTGGTTTCGATGAAATGATTTTGTTTAGCAAATAGATTATACATAATAGATTTTCTTAAGTATGTATTTTTTCTTTATCAATTATCCTTTTTTTTACTATTTTCATTTCATTTTAATAGTTCAATTTTTGAATTTCCAAATTTTAGACAATTTAAGAATTAGCAAAAATCTCAATAATTACTTGTTCGATTAACTTTTGTCGGCTTAACTCTTTTATCTGATAAAATAGAAATATAATAATTAATCGTTAAAATTTTTTATGAAATTGTTTAAATATTTTTGATAAATACCCTTAATGAATATTTTTTGTATATTAATTCATTACAAATATTTTAATTTTTTTATTATTACACTTAATATTTTAATTGCCAAGACATCTGAATTTTTCTCAATATCTAAACTAAATAAACTTATTTATTATATTATGTGTTAATGATTATTTTCTTAAAATAAAAGTAAAGAGTTATGATCCCTTTACATATAACTCTTACACAACTCATTACACAAAATGTTAACAATTTATCTATTCATTTTTAATAATTAAGATTTACTTACTTTTTATTATATTTATTAAAAATTATCTTTTTATTTAAAAAATTACAATAAATCTTAATCATCAAAAATAAAAAAATAATTAAAATATTATATACATATAATATATAAAAATTTTGTGTAAATAAATTTCTCATTCCAAAGTAAAATATGAACAAACAAATGCAATAAATAACACCTTCAAAAAGCTCAAATAAAAAGGGGGAGTAATACCTTTGATTTAATTGCATTCGAATAACATCTTCAAAAGTTCAAATAAAGAATGGGAGAGATAAATGATTTAACCAATTTAAGTATTATAATTTGGTTTTTCCAAAAATCTATCCTTACATTCTCCTCTATTTTTTTTCTTAATCCAATCATAGCCTTGTGGTCTGTACTCCAGTCGTTGTCCTCATGCTTTTCCAACTTTTAACCACCATCATGACTATGTTGAACCTTACATTATTCCACCGTACACGTGGAAAATCCTAGTTAAACGCTACGGTAAGTATGACCGCTGGGTATCCCGGCTTCGAAATGACAGCAAAGAAGCGAGGGAAAAAGGAAAAACGATACTCTTCTCCTTCAACTTTTACAAAGTTATCAATTCAGACTCTAAAGAAATGACTTTATCATAATAGTCCTCAGACTTTGCAAAACAATACATGCGCGAGCTTTTTTATCCCTGGCATTGAAATAAACCCAAGTTAGTCAAGAAGGTTATATGAGGCATTATTTTCTAAAAAGTTATATGAGGCACATTCACCTCCATTGTAAGTACCTTACAAAATGGACATTTGAATCTAATGTAAGCATACTAAAAATTGTTAGAGAAATTTGAAAATTGTTTGATGATTCATTAGAGACCCAATTGAGGCACCATTTAAGAGCATTAAGAAGTCAAGTTGTGTTTAAATATTTAAGTCAACCTAATAAATTTTAAGTTTAAATACCATGGACAGAGCTCAAATCATTTACTAAAATAATAGGCTTTAACCATTTAAGGAAGGGTAACATCTATGTACACGCCTCATTTAATTCTTTTTGTTTAACTTCTTTTTTTTTTTTTTTCCTTTTTTGTTACACAAGTAGTAGAGGGTATAATATAAATCCTTTTCCATAGCATTTGCCAAAAGAATGGTTGTTAGACAACAAAGAGGTGCATTGACAATAGTGGTTCTGCTAATGACCCATTCTTGTCATATAATTTGCCTTCTCTAAGGGTGCGTTAAAGAGTGCAAGATCTGAACTCGACTATGAGAACTTTGCTATCTAGAATGGGAGTAGAGATGATGGAGTTTATGGG